TGGTGAGCAGTCAAGTGCCTTAGGCACTATTCTACCAGAGCTCCTAAGCATTGCATAATCTAGCAGATAAGTAGCCTAGCCTCGCGTGAGGTGCTCAGCAAGAGAGCTCGTCTCTAAAAGTCCCTCATCTCTCAGTTACCTTATGGCTCCTGCAGCAGATTTCCCAAATGAGTAGAAAATGCGACATCTCAGGAAAAACTAAGAGCAACCCAGAATAATACCAACTTTTTCTCATTTATGGAAGAAAAAGGAAGTTGACTACTTATACACACATACAAAGTGTGCAGTGGCTGATTAATTAACAAATTTTAAGATAAAGATAATGACTCATCATTGAAGCTTAAAATGGTAAACCAAAAAAAAAAAAAAAAAAACCCAACACACTGCCGTGGAATCGGATCCGACCCATAGCGACCCCTTCTTGGGTTTCTGAGGCAGTATCACTACAGAAGTAGATCGCCCAATCTTCCTTCCTAGGAGTAGCTGGTGGGTTTGAACCACCAGCCCTCTGGTTAGCAGTCAAATCTTTTTATTCAATGTATGCTTCCCAAAATGAATGTGATGTAGAAGAGGTATAAAATTTATATTCTTTACTTCCTTAAGGACAAAGTCAGTACTTGCATCATTTATTAGAAGCAAGCAAATCACTAGCAGCAACATTTCTAGAAGTGTTTGCTCAGACATGACTAGTGTATGCTGTATTAAGGAGCTCTGGTGGCATAATGCCAAAGGAATTTGACTGCTAACCAGAGGGCTAGTGGTTCAAACCCACCAGCCACTCCTTGGAAGGAAGACTGGGCAATATGCTGTATTAGGAGAAAAAGGTTTTTGAGGATAGCTGCAATTTTTAGAAGTTCATTTTCATGTCACAATTTAGCCTGGTTCAAATGATGGATGAGTAAAATAGACTAAGAATCCATTAATTCCTTCATTCAACAAATATTCAATTCAAATTCTATTTGGTGCTTCCTTCATTCCAAGTAGAGTCCCTGGGTGGTACGGTTAATGCACTTGACTATTAAAAGAAAGATTGGAGGTTTGCGTTCTCCTAGAGCTACCTTGAAAGAAAGACCTGGTGATCTACTCCTGAAAAATCAGCTGCTAAAAACCCCATGAGGCACAGTTCCCTGACCCTCACATGATCACCATGAGTGAGAGTCAATTTGACAGCAACGGATTTGGTTTTTATGTTTCAGGCACTGGATGTAGGATAAGGAACATAACAAATACTCCTTGTCCTCATGAAGAGTAAATTCTTATGGGATGACAGACTATAACCAAATAGCCAAACATACATGTCAGTAGTGAAACGTGGAGAAAAAAATAAGGCTAGTAAGAAGAGAGTGGGTGTTGGTGGATGGGAGGAGTCACCACTCAGTTGCCCCCATTGGCTATAGCCATACTCAAAGGCTGTGCTATGCATCAGAAAGCTTATAACCCAAAAAGACCCACTGCCATTGAGTCGATTCAAACTCATAGTGACTCTATAGGACAGCGTAGAACTGCCCCATTGTGTTACCAAGGCTGTAAGCTTACGGAAACAGACTGCCACATCTTTTTCCCGCAGAGCAGCTAGTGAGTTTGAACCATGCTATCTTTTGGTTAGCAGGTGAGTGCTTAACCACTACACCAACAGACTCCTTCAGTACATCTTAGCCTTTATTTTCTGAGGTAAATCTGTGAACTGTACAACTGCCACTGGGCTGGTCAGTATCTATTAGAGGAGGTAGTCCAGAGGGGAAGTGTAAAAGCCAAATAAAAAAATGGCAAAGAAGACTTAAAATTTACAGTTTCCTATGGTAGCATAGTGGCTAAGACACTTGCCTGCTCACCAGACGGCTGGCGGTTCAAACCCACCAGCCACTCCTCGGAAGGAAGGTTGGGCAATCCTACTTCCGTAGTGATACTGCCTCGGAAACCCAAGGAGGGG